TAAAGGTAGAATTTGGCCAATTCGGTACCTAATTTACTTGGGAATTACGAGAGAGTTCTTCTCATTCTTCTTTTCCTTTGTCAAAGTTTCGTTCGTTGTTCCTCTTCGCCGTGGGTCGAATATTAGTGCAATTATTTGATAACTGATTGTTATACCTTAGGAGATTACCGAGAAGAAATTGTTGCACCATCGGCAGCCCGGAATGTTGTCTTACGAGAACTGATTCGGCAAACCTCAATCAATTCTACATATTTCACAAATTCCATATTTCCGTTTTCTTTTTTCAAACGAGTGAGTACAAGCACTGGCGGAACTTGATAGGGGCATGGGGGGGCCGTTGACCCCCCAAGAAAAAAAAATTAGATATTTGGTATTACATTTTTTGAATATTACTTTTGGCCCCTCCGAAGATTTTGAAAATATTTATCTTGACCCATTATTTTTTTTTGTTTATTCGCCGAGATATTATAGTAAATAATAGATAAATATATCATATTTAATTTAAAATATAAAATAACATGGTTAAAACATGTATTATTTTAAATAAAATTGATGAATATTACTTATTTTTGAATTTTTTATCTAACACCTTACAAAAAAGATGAGATCGTGCCATGAATCTCCAAAATATTAAGTGCAGTATATTATTAGAATAATTTGAATTAGTTTAGATTTTTTGTGATAATTAACATATGGTGCGTGAGTAAATATTTATATATATATATATATATATATATATAAATATTTATATATATATATATATATATATATATATATATATATATATATATATATATATATATATATATATATATATATATATATATATATATATATATTATATATATATACACTACGCTGTATGTGTTCATGATTTCACTATTTGATATAAACCCATCTTTCCCACGTTTCAAGTTCCATAAAATCAAATTATTATTTTGCAATTTTATTATAATTTAATATATAACTAAAATTGAACTTCTGATACTTTTTTGTAATTAAACAAAAAAATTATATCTAAACTCAAGCCTTTTCAGTTTACCTTTCTTTCCTTCAAATATTTTTTTTTTGTCAATAAAAAAAATAAAAAATTATCGGTTCAACTCGGAGCTGGGTGGGTTGTGAGTTGTGACCATGGTGAGTCTATTTTGTTTGATGAAGTGAGGCAAATGGTTAATGGGGTAGTGATTTTATTTTAGTAAGTAAAAATATGCACTAATGCTATTTATATTTTGGAATGATTGGAGGTTCAAAACTTTTATAATTAATTTCAATTTAGATATAGTTTTTTTTGTAAAAAATCGGAAAACAGAATTTTGGAAGTCGAAATAAAATAATTCACTTCCAAAGTGTTCGGATTGAAATAGTCGGGAATTTGATTGCCACCCCTACTCACATATCCATGAGTAGATAAGTCCCTATCTAAGATGCATGATTTTTAGGGATCATTAGCAAGACCCCATTATCTAGAAAATGTAGTTAAGAAAACACCCTCTTCTAAAAATAATTAGAGAAAACTCCCTTATCTAATATTATACTAAAATCCTATTTTTATAATTCCAAGAATACCCTCAATTTCAAATCCCTAATCTCATTTTCATTTATCTCACATTCTTTCCGATTCAGATATAAATTTACCCATAAATGAGGATCTGCTTTATTCCTATAGCCCTTTGTGTGGTCTTTTCATCGTTTTCTTTTGCATTCAAAGAAAAAAATATTGAAGCTATTTTCCTCGTTTGTTTCATTTATGGTTGTCTGCTTATTAAACTCTTATATTTATGCACTTTAATCTGAATGGTTTGCTGAGAAAGTTAGTTTTGGTTATGGAGGAGTTCAGTGCATTCAGGGTGGAGAAGGCGGCGGCGGCGACAGTGGAGCAAGGGTGGTGGGGGGTGGTGGTTAAGGAGGTTTCTCCAGCGGATATGGAGAATAAAAAGGAGGACGTGGGAGAATATGGATGTCGCTCCACGATCGCTTCAACATGGAGGATTACAGTACGTAGGAGCGTAAAGAGGATGATAGTTGCTGGTTCGGGGCAGGTGATTAGAGGGACATTGTGGTGTGGTGACGTCACTCTTGATAGGCTGAAATGGGGTGGTGTGGTGGCGGCGTGGTGACGACGAGGAGCAGATCTAGGGTTTTTGGTAGATCAGGCGAAAGACGGTGTGGGTAATGAAATTCGCGCAAGCTGGACCCTTAATCGACTATGTGTTTTTTTGGTAGTCGATTAAGCTAATCGACTATGCTCTGGCAGTCGATTAAGGTTGATCGACGCCGGTTTTTTTTTTTTTTTTTTTTGAATTTTTTGTTTATTGATTACAAAATTATAAATCATTTATAATGTTTGTATATTTTTCGCTTTTTAATATATAGTTAATTTTACATTTTTTCGTAGTTGTGATTTGTTATTTTTAGTAGCAGATTCTTAATCGACTATGCTTCACATCATAGTCGATTAATATGCTTCATTGACTCCAATTTTTTATTTTTTATTTTTATTTTTTGTTTTATTGATTCCAATTGTATAAATCAATTATTATGTTTGTATATTGTTTGTTTTTGTAAAATATAG